CAGGGAGAACATGCAAACTCCACACAGAAACGCCAACTGAGCCTAGGCTTGAACCAGTGACCTTCTTGCTGTGAGGCGACAGCTCTAGCTACTGTGCCACTGCTTCGTCCATGCTAAAACATTATTATATTATTATTATTATAATTGTAAAGTGAGGGCAGTACGGTGGCTAAGTAGTTAGCACTGTCGCCTCACAGCTAGAAGGTCACTGGTTTGAGTCTTGACTGAGTCAGTTGGTATTTCTGTGTGGAGTTTGCAAATTCTCCCTATGTTGGCGTGGGTTTCCTCTGTGTTCTCCGGTTTCCCCCACAGTCCAGACACATGCGCTATAGGTGATTTGAATAAACTAAATTGTCCGTTATGTATGTGTGTGAATGAGAGTGTATGGGTGTTTCCCAGTGATGGGTTGCAGCTGGAAGGGCATTTGCTGCGTAAAGCATATGCTGGATGAGTTGGTGGTTCATTCCACTGTGGCGACCCTTGATTAATAAAGGGACTAAGCCGAAAAGAAAATGAATGAATGAGTGAAATTGTCTGTAGTGTATGAGTGAATGAGAATGTGAATGAGTATGGGTGTTTCCCATTAATGGGTTGCAGCTGGAAGTGCATCCGCTGCATGAAACTTATGCTGGAATAGTTAGCGGTTCATTCCACTGTGATGACCTCTGAAATAAAGACTAAGCCGAAGCAAAATGAATGAATGAATGATCGTAAAGTGCTGATTCATGTGTAATTGCGTCTCCTTTGGGCCTCTAATATGACTCTCCTGCATACTTGTGTATATTGTGTAATGTGTGTGTATGTTTGAGTGTAAAGATAGTGCCGAACACTGTCATTATACACGTGAAGCTTTGTAATCTACATTCAGTTATGTCTTTTAGACTCAAACAGATGCGTACTGATTTCATTCTCTCTCTTTCACACACACAAACATCTGCTCTGTGGTTCCTATTGACATATCTCACATTTTAGTACCTGTGACAGCTGGAAAACGTAGACAGTCAAAATTACACTCGCATACAGGCAACACAGGTCATACGAAGAGTTCATGCATTATGGGATAGTGTCACCATCTATTTGCAGGCAATGCATATAAACAGTTTGCAAGTCTGGGAAGTGTTGTTTTTGAGATAAATCTTTTCAATGAATCGCTCTGAATCATTCATTCCGGAATAAGACTGATCTGGTTTAACTCACTTGATTCAATTGCATCATTTAAAGGGATAGTTCAGCCAAAATCAAATCTTCTGTCAGTATTTACTTAAGCTTCACTTGTTTCAAACCTGTTTAAGTTTCTATCTTCTGTTGAACAAAACATTAATTATTTTGAACAATGTTGGAAACCTGTAACCATTGACTTTCATAGTATTTGTTTTTCCTTCTGTGGAAGTCAATGGTTACCGGTTTCTAACATTTTTCAATATATCTTTTTTAAAAATACAATTATTACAATGTTGGTAACCTGTAACAAATGACTTTCATTGTATTAGTTTTTTCCTACTATGGAAGTCAATGGTTACCAGTTCCTAACATTCTTCCAAATATATTCTTAAAAAAATACAATTATTACAATAATGGAAACCTGTAACCATTGATTTTCATTGTATACGTTTTTTCCTATTATGGAAGTCAATGGTTACCAGTTTCTAACATTCTTCAAAATATCTTCTCAAAAAATACAGTTATTACAATGTTGGAAACCAGTAACCATTGGCTTCTATAGTTAGAAAAAAAAGCGTTGGAAGTCAATGGTTAGCAGTTTCTAACATTCTTCAAAATATCTTCTTAAAAAAATACAATTATTGCAATGTTGGAAACCTGTAACCATTGACTTTTAAAGTATTTACTTGGAAGTCAATGGTTACCGGTTTCTAACATTCTTTAAAATATCTTCTTGAAAAAATGCAATTATTACAATGTTGGAAACCAGTAACCATTGACTTACATAGTGTTTGTTTTTCCTTCTATGGAAGTCAATGGTTACCGGTTTCTAACATTCTTCAAAATACCATTTTAAATAAATACAATTATTACAAATTTGGAAACCTGTAACCATTGACTTACATAGTATTTGTTTTTCCCTCTATGGAAGTCAATGGTTACCGGTTTCTAACATTCTTCAGAATATCTTCTTTAAAAAATTACAAAGTTAAAAACCTGTAACCATTTACTTGTACGGTATTTGTTTTTCCTACTATCTAATAAACTTACAATGTATCCTGAAATACACGGGCAGCCAGTGAAGAGAGCATAAAACCGCGGTGATATGCTCGTATTTACGTGTGGCAGTAAAAAGACGCGCAGCTGCAATTTGAAAATGTTGCAGTCGAGAAATAGAAGACTGACTCACCCCAAAATAAAGGACATTGCAGTAGTCCAAGCAGGAGGTTATAAAGGCATGGATTACTGTTTCAAAGTGCTTGTGTGTTAAAACATGCTCAATTTTGGCCAGTTGTCTTAAGTAAAAGAAGCTAGAGCAAACAACAGACCCAATCTGGCTTTCAAGCTTTAGCGCAGGATCCTGGAACAACATTCCAATCAGCCAATCAGAATTAAGGGATGCATTTAGAGTTTATGTTAAGTTTAGGCTTTGGTTAGGTTTATGCACTTCTTCATGATAGTTATCCAATTGATATCCACATCTAATTTTGGGAATAATTTATGGTTGGGTTTAGGGGTTGAGAGTATGTATGGATTACATTTTCCAACCAAAATGTTGTTCTATGATCAACATTGGTGTTAATCCAGGATCGCATCGTACTTGGCAAAATCATGATGTGCGTCAACTTACTCTAGAATATAATAGAAAATGACAAGCGCCGCATAATATCCTTCATTGTGAAGTAAAAGTGCTGAGAAGGCCTGAGAGCTGTTAGAGGGTAAGAGAGAGATGCTTGCTCTTGATGTTTGAGGCTGTTAAAGCTGAGCTCGTTACGATGATCAAACGCAGCCTCCCTCCAGCGTAACACTGTACTTAATAAAGTGCCCTGCAGGAGGGGTGTAAACGCTGGACCCATACAGAGCCAGGAGCCCTCGTTACCATTTCCTGACTAAATGGAAATCTCCACAGGCAAGAGAGACCTCAGTTCATCCGATCATACAAAAAAAAACTAAGAAAGTAAAGGATGGCTACTTTGTCCTCGTAGTACTGGTAGAACGGTCAAATTATCTGTGCTGTTTAAGTCTAAAATTTACTATGAAATAGGGTATATGCCGAGCTAGTGCTGTTCCCATGCTGATACACTTCCGGTGACCTGTTATTGTGAACTTTATCTCATTTTATACGGTTCCTTATACAGCATCGATGTTGTAATGTCATTAAAATACATTCAGTTAAATAAACTTTAGCATTTATTTAGTTGCTCAAGCGTAAAACGAGACAAAAAGCTGTTTACTCGCACGCGCCCGTCAGAATCGGCAGGCTAGCGCAGAAGCTCCATTGAATATTCTGGGGTAAAATAAATGCTCATATATTAAAGATATGGCGGGGGAAATGTAATTTAATCCAGTGCTTCTGGTACAATCTGAGACCCACTTTAAATCGGATATCACTCAGCCAGTGGAGATCGCTGATTTTTTTAAGAAAACAGACCTTAAACGCACCGGATTTTGCATTGGCATTCAATTCGCCGGAAGCGCTTAACCCAGGTTAATGGCAAATTAAAAGTCCTATTAGCATGCTTCGGTATATACCCCATTCATTTAGAGACTATTGAAGTGGGCGTTATTTGTGTTTTGAATGGAATAATGCCACTGTGTGTATTTTACAGTTGAAGTCAGAATTATTATTGTTTTTGTTTCCTTTTAAAATATTTCCAAATGATGTTTATCAGAGCAAGGAAATTTTCACAGTACGTCTGATAATATTTTTTCTTCTGGAGAAAGTCTTTTTTTGTTTTATTTCAGCTAAAATAAAAGCAGTTTTAAATTTTTTTTAAAACATTTTAAGGTCTAAATTATTAGCCCCTTTAAGCTATATATTTTTTTCGATCTACAGAACGTTTTTTCGTTGTCTACAGAACAAACCATCGCTATAACTTGCCTAATTACTTGGGCCAGATGAAATCTGTGGACTCTTTTGGCTATTTCTGCGCAGAATTGTCTTAAAGATCAGCGGATTTATGCAGAATTATTTTGGACGTATCATAACTAAAACCTTATATAAAATAATAAACTTTTATTTAATGTTTACAATGCAAATCTAATTAGATCCACTCATTTAGTAAACAAAGCAAGTCTATCATATAATATATCTACTAATTGTAAATAAATCATATGAATATTTTCATATTAGTCAATAATATTACTAAAATTATATTAATAACTGAATTAATATAAATTTACACACATTTGCACAAGTAAATAAATAGAGTTGATGATAGAGGCTAGAAATCTGTGGAATTCTGCAAGCGCAGATTCCATGTAGGCCTACTAATTACCCTAACCTCCATAGTTTACCTAATTAACCTAGTTAAGCCTTTAAATGTCACTTTAAGCTGTATAGAAGTGTCTTGAAAAATATCTAGTCAAATATTATTTACTGTCATCATGGCAAAGATTAAATAAATCAGTTATTAAAGATGAGTTATTAAAACTATTATGTTTGTATATGAAACATACTTGAAAAAAGTAACCTTTTTTAAAGAAGTACATACCAATTGTCCTAAGAACCCTGTTTAGAAAGCATTTTCACACTTTCATGTACCTTCTGTTTTATTATGGTGAAGTAAACAGTCGCTTAGACTGACCATATGCACCTTGATTCCTCACTTTCGTCCCAGATGGGGTAAGGATGAGTGAATTAATGTACTTTTGTTTTGGGTGAACTGTCCCTTTAAGAGTTCATTAGAGGTCAGTCTAGATCACAGGTGTCAAACTCAGTTCCAAAAGGGCCGCAGCTCTGCAGTTGAGTTCCAACCCTTATTAAATTCACCTGAGCAAACTAATTGAGTCCTTCAGGCTTGTTTGAAACCTTCAGGTAAGAGTGTTGGAGCAGGGTTGGAACTAAACTGTGCAGGGCTTCCGCCCTCCAGGAATTGAGTTTGACACCCCTGCTCTAGATCAACCCTGTTCCTGAAGGCACACCAGCAGTACACATTTTCAAAATCTTCCTATTCAAACACACCTAATTCAACTCACCAGAGCATTAGAAAAGACTCCAAAACCTGGGTCAGATAAGGGAGACATCCAAAATATGTACTGTTTCTGTGCCTCCAGGACAATAGATCCATCATGATCCATCAGTTTTGATTTGACGTGTGTGTTTACCTCTGTGGGAACAGGTTTGCAGTATCCGGCTCCGAACATCAGATTCTCCACTGACATGGCAGAGGGCGGAGCCTCGCTTTCTGGAGATCCCTTACCAAGCCACGTCCCTTTCCCACTGCGGGCAAAACTGCACAGAGACAAATTACAAAAGGTCAGCGCCTATGGTGTGAGCTGTGTGTGCAGATGTCAATCTATATAATTGTGAAGTAATTAATAAATAATGAAATAATATCATATAGTTAATATAAGAGCTCTCGGCAAGGACCAATAACAATACGAGTTATAACAATGATGAGTTTATTTTCCAGGCTACGCTAAAAGCTTAGACAGCTCACTTGTTGACTTGTGCTATATTATGAGAATCATTATTATCGATTGAATATACCAATAATAACTGATTATATTAGTGCAGGAAGTCATATTATTATGGTTTCAGAAGTAATCACTGACTGGAGTATTGATGGGAAATATTCAGCTTTACATCACAGAACAAAAATACATTTAATCTACATTTAATGAGGAAAAACATTGTTTTAAATTGCAATAATATTTCTCTATTTCATAGATTTTAAACAAAAAAAAGTCTTGGTAAGAATAGGCGTGTGTGTTGGTGTGTATGTACATATTTGCTTATATATAGTATACAGTATTAAAGGGTTTGGATTTGAAGTTTTAATTGAGTAATAATCACATCCAAAATAATATATATATATATATATATATATATATATATATATATA